TAACCCCATGAGCGTCATCACGTTCCTACGTTGTTTCAAATATAGTTCCGTTTATTGGCTGAACAATTTTGTCCAATAAGCTGCATGATCATATCACACAGCGCGAAGCTCGTTCCCCGAGAACAACAGCTATTCCTCCTCTTAAGGACTGACAATGCTCTCAAAACATTCACAACAGAGTATTCTTTTTCATTTTATTTTTAAGAAAGTTCAGCGTGAACTTCTTGAGGTGGCCCGTAGGTCCCAGAGGAGGAGAGCGCAGTCAGGCCAGGCTCGCCTCGCACATCTTAAAGCTGCTTTCAATATCTTTTCAAATCTGTTTTCCTTTTCTCCATAGCATGTCTGTAACAAAAGTTCTCATAATCTGAAGTCAGCGTATTTACATGGTTTTATGAAACAGAATTCTGAGAAAAACAGGTTTAAAGATCGACATTCCAAACATAATCATCACAGTCATATAACATGTAAATTTTGAATTACTCTGTTATGGCACACTTGTTTTAGTCACTATGTTGTAGAAGATTAAAAAGATGTTACTTTGGCACCAATTAAACACACAACACTCATGAATTAGTCGAAAATCAAGAATGTATTGATTCTTTCAATATTCAATGGATTGAATTTTGACCTCCTCTTCTTTTTCTTTCTCTTTATAATTTACTGAAAATTAGCCAGTAATAATTGTAATAATTTACATTGCCAGTATTATTCTATCAAATCACGCAGTCTAAATATCCACAACCACCAAGCATTTTTAATGCAAGGAGAAACTTAGGTAACTTTAAACACAAATAAAACAAATGGACCTGTCCGACTCGAGTGTCTATGCTTCGTGTGTCTCTGGTTCTGTCCAAGTGTCTATGATCCGCGTGTCTCCGCCTGTCTGGGTTCTGTCTGCGTATATGTAAATGTAAATGTCTGTCTGTGGTTCTGTTCGGGTGTCTATGGTCCTGTCTGTGGTTCTGTTCGCGTGTCTATGGTCCGCGCTCGGAGCCCAGACGGCAGTGCGTTCACTGAGCTGTCAGAGCGGGGGTCACAGCAGCTGCTCCCGGGGCCAGAGCGGAGGATGTAACGTAACGTTTGGTTTATCAAAACATATCATAATATTTAACGTATAACACTAGTGAATTTCACCTAGATTTTTTCAGACATTAAAGACAAGATGTTATATAATAATTGTTTAATGAAAAAACAATTTTGCCAAAAAAATGACAATCGACCTATTTTTACTGTTTACTCGGAACGTGACATCCGACGGGTTTTCCCAGATCACATCACATATATACGTTAATGCAATTTAATTATAAAGATTAACATTAGTACAAAATATGTATATGTTGTCTGTTATGCTCTTACTTTGAAAAAGCATTCAATAGCAACACATATACATTCACATGCACGGCTTGAACACACAGCCAATTTTACACATTTCCTTTTGACAAGGAAAGAAGATAACAATCTGATAACGTTACGTAATTGCACACAAGCAACCAAAAGATGTGCAACCAAAATTGCCTCAGACAAGAATCGAACCTGGGTTCCACAGGTCCCAGTCTTTAATGCTAACCATTCGGCCAACATCTCTGGGCTAGACAGGTTTGCACGCAGTATCATACTTGAGCTTTAGCTCTAAGTCGCTGGCAGAGCTAAAGCGGACTTAACCTGCCACCTTGTGGCGATAAGATGTAATATTTTTCACGCAGCTGCGTGATTCCCGAAAAGCGTGAGTGAAGACGACAAAACGAAATGGGACCTACTGTAAAGAAGCTATATGTAAGACTTTCGTGTCAAGTCATCATTAAATGGCCCTAATATGTCAAAAGTCATCAAATCATGGTCTTTTCGAATACTTCTTTAACTTATAACAATAGTTCAGCCAGAATAAGCACATTTCAAAATTAGACTTTGTTATTGTTTTCATTTCAACGTCCCACCTTCCATCGTTTTACCGTTCAGAAAGCCCATGATCCAGGTTGCCAGAGCTCACCGCGTCTAGCTAATCTCACCGGTAAAGTAACATGTCAGGCATAGTGAGGGCGGGTGCCGGCTCTAAAGGGTCCGTGAGCATAATTTCTTATGGCGCCTTTTATGCTCTGGAAAAACGGCTTTACAACCTAGTCCAAAAGTTGAACGCTATGGACTAAAGCCTAGACTAGAGTACACCCAAACGGCGCTGGTTACGGTTGCGGTTGCGCTGGACCTACGCAGCCACAGTTGTTGGTACACTTGCGGGCTCCTCCTGCGGAGTCTTAAAGAGAATGTTATAATCCCACACCCAACCCACGTGAGGCCGATCTCACAGGAGTTGCCTGGGAAACCAACAGTGTTGTGCCAGTTCACAACTTTTCTGAACTAGTTCAAGTTCATTTCAAACATGCTCAAAGTCAACAGTTCACGTTCAAAGTTCACAATTTTAATTCTGAACTAGTTCAAAGTTCAGTTCATTTTACTTTTTTCGTGAAATAGTCAAATAAATACTTTTTTTCACACTACAAGCTATATATATATATATATATATATATATATTATATATCTCCTGTACACCCACAGGAGGAGAGCCTTTTGACTACAAAACAGACCAGATTTACATGGTTTTCAATGGGAGCATTACGGAGTTGCTCCATCTCTGCTCATAAACTACAGACAGTAATGCGCTGCAGTGCGTGTGTCTATACTTTCTGTCAAATGTAAACGGTGTAAACTTTGTCGCTAACTCACCCTGTGTTTTCATCACGACTCGGGCACATGTGAAAAGCACCAGCTCACAGCGCCGCACCGCAACACGGAGTCGGGGTGCATTCACAGACGGTGGAAACCGTAGGAATTTTTTGATTTCGGCGGAAAAAGTGCGAGAATACAGGAGGGAGGAACTTTCTCTCGTTGCGTTTTAAAAGAGAAAACAGATTCCAACGTTCAGTGATGTCTGTCGTTCATGACACATAAAATGAACTAATTCACGTTCTAGTTCTTTTTTTAAAAATGTGTTGCGTTCAGTTCAACGTTCACAAAAAAATGAGCGTGTTCAATGAACGCGTTCTTTTGAACTCGTTCACGCACAACACTGGAAACCAAAGCGGTCCCCTTAATGGGCTCGACACACGGGAGGCGACAAACGAGAGCGATCAGCAAAACTCAACGCTGTCGCTCAGATAACATGACAGACGGGGCGCGATGCGGCTTGACGACAGCGTCAAAAAGTTGAGCCGATTTCAACTTTCTGGGATCGCGTCGCTGACCTGCGCGTGCACGATACATGCACGAGCGGGAGGATTTCACACGCACGTTTTTCGCCCGTCGCTGAGCAGGAGGCTCGCTAGCGATTGACGCTATGTCGCGCACGTTCCATTGAAAATGAATGGAGGCGATGCGATGTCGCCTCCCGTGTGTTGAGCCCTTTACGCTAGCTACTTTCTCCTCATCAGAACAAAAACATTAGCAAACCAAGCTGTTTGAGCTCATTACAAGTGTTTCTAGTGTCAGTTTATGTGATAGTTCTATGGACTTCATGAATAATTTCAACTGTGATGCTGTGAACAAAGACACATTTAATGTTGGAAACAACACATTATTTAATTGTATTCAGCGCAAACAGCAAAACAATAAGTGGTAGACATCTGAGTCCAAACATGAACTATTTACAAGTACAGGAGGAATGCAAAAGACGCGACAAGCTACGAGTGCAGATTCAAACAAAGACAGGCGCAGGAACAGTGTAAAAGTAATAACGACTGTACACGGCACGGTGGCTGAGTGGATAGCACTCTCGCCTCTCAGCAAGAAGGTCCTGGGTTCGAATCCCGGCCTTTCTGAGTGTCTGCGTAGGTTTCCTCCGGGTAATCCGGTTTCCCCTACCACTAAAAATATGTACAATAGGTCTGGCATGCGCCTCCTGTTCGGCAACCCCGCTCCCATCTCTGTGTGGAATGAGAGGACAAGTGCCCAAAAAATAACAATTGTAAACTGCTTTTGTCTCTGTGAAAGGCGGTATATAAATAAAGCTTACTTACTTACAGTTTATAAGTTAGATATGCAACAGAACTGGACAGTCCACAGCCTCCGTGTATATCAGGCTCTGAGCCATGAACCCAAACCCAAGCATGAAGATATCTGCTCTGAAGTGCCTTGTCCATATTCCTTGCAGCTGCTCCATGCTTCCGTCTAAAAAACACACACGGACCAATCACAGCAGAGCTTCTCTGCAGCGGCGGCTGGGTAGTCAGAAATAGTTGAGTGTGCGCCGCAGGCTGTGCGCAAGTGATGTCACGTCACCACTGTAAGCTCCGGGCCGTGCGACTATACACTAGGCTTTAGGGCTGCACAATATTGGATATTAGTGCGACATTCGATATGAGTGTTTAGTATTTCGATAACGATATTATTGCAATATTTTTGTCTTTCACTTAAAATTGCATCTGCATTTAAACGCAAGAGACAAATGACAAAAATAAGCATAAACATTAATGACCTTCAAATGCATATAGTCATACACTTTTGTTTGTTTGTTTGTTGTTCTTATTGGATGTTGATGTTTCTGTTTTGTTGTCTTTATATATATATATATATATTTGATGCGGCTATTTTTGATATGGATATTGCACGCACCAACATCCCGATAACAATTTTTTTTTGATATATTGTGCAGCCCTACTAGGCTTAACGCATGTGCACATGATACAGCCTCAGAGAGAGAGAAGACCACCCTTACTCAGCTCTCTGAATGTAAAAGATGTTTTCTAATACAATAAAATCAGCATGACGTGGTCAAGACTCTTTTAAAGGATTAGCCATAGCTGTAGATCTCATTCCAACACAAGAACTGCTTTCTGCGTGTCTGTGCAACCTTCACAGAGCTCTGGTTTAATTCCTGGTGAATATTCATTACTCCATTAATCTTGAATGGGATTTCAATAAACCCCAGGTGTGTTTTCAGACAGGACATTTTGTGCCGTATTAGCAGTGCAAATTATTCTCATGGTGTTGATTTTACTGGGTGTGCTCAGGCCTTCTGGAAGGACAAAGGATTCTCCGGAGAGATCGTCACCGGAGCGTCCACGGGCTGTCCCTTCTGCGTCACTTTTGATGCCACTACTCCCTCGGGGAACGCAGCTCTGGTGGGCCTGATCGCAGGACAGCAGGCCACATACTGGACCAACAAACAGGTACTTGTACACGTCTGCTTTGTCTATAAGTTAAAGCTTAACCATGTTACAGCATTGTTATTCATCAAAAACAGACCCGGACCTACTGTAAGGCAAGGTAAGGCAAGGAAAGTTTATTTGTATAGCACAATTCATACACTGTATAGTCTAACACGCTAATATCAGGAACTACAAACACAAACGTACAGTATAACTCCGCCCCTACTATCTAGAAGCTCCTGTCTCAGACTTTTAAAAGTATATATATGCTTTTAAAAGTAGTACCACTAGTATAGTGGTACAATGACATCACACCCAATGCAGTTTCCAGCCTTAAAGCTCAAGAATTAGGTTTATGCAGGAATTAGGTTTATGCAAAATCTGAGGTGAATTGATGCTCTTTACAACGACATGGCTGTGTTTGTAGTAGTTTTGTATTTTTATCATTTTGACAAAAAATAATAATTATCCCAAAGCTACCAAGATAATTGTATTTTTGGGATGGGGCATTCATACTTGGTTCACCGTATTTTCTAAAACATATGTTGACAATATTATAATATACTTTTTGATAGCCAAATATAACTCATAATAGCTCTTCTTTAAGGCTTGAATACCTAACTTCACCGCAAACAGTTAAATAATACAATCAATCTAACAAGTTCCTTGATTCTATCACTAGTATTCACACACATGTATTTTTGGCCTCTGTCACATCTTTGTCCGATCAGTCATTTTATTTTTAGAGAAGATTACCCCTTTTCTTTTTTATAATCGTCACAATTTTAGATCAGTACTACCAGCCCTCACTCAGCCAATCAGCCCTCAGTATGTAAATGGTAACGTATTTTCTAATTATAGATAAATACAATGTTAATAATACCTCAGGAATATTTTAGTTACAAAAAAGTTACATACACCTTTACCCAACTGTTCTGGTGTTGACCCTCTTTAGGTGAAGTAGTTCGATAATTGTTCGCTCAGTTTGGGTTTATACTCATTTAAATTATTGATTATTTTAGTGCTTTAAACAAACGTAAAAAGACTCACCTCTCCATAGATATAACCTGTAACTTTATCACAGTTCTTAAACAAACTGCTGGAGCTTGTCTTTTGCTCTGTGTTTATTCTACTCCCAATGCTGTGCTCGTTCATGCCACAGGTGCAGTGGTGCTGGATGCACTGTTGATGTATAGTTTTAATTTCCATGGACCTCACACTTTGGCAAATGTGATAATGAAGCGCATGGTTCTACTTCCAAATGCACCCACACGGTCCCACTACAACCAGATACTTTGCACATTTTGAATAACTTTTATTGAGTGTGCGATGGCAGCGGAGCTCGGATATTGCAAGTGACAAAGAATGATGGCAGCGGTGTCCAATCTTTTTAGTAACAGGGACAGTTTATTCAGAGTTTTCTGAGCCTTAAATGATTCAGATTTGAGGCTGAAGAGGCTGAAGTGAATGTTTATTTTCTCATGGGCCTTTTTGTTTTTGTTTGTTTACGGCGGGGTTATTGAACTCAGTCCTCAAAGGGCCTTGTGACTGCAGGTTTTCATTCCAACCAATGAGGACCACAGACTCCACCCATTTCTTAAAATCTATGGATCACCAATATTTAATGTTAAGACCAGAGTGTTATTTAGTTGAACTTTGTTTGTACAGTTTCATCTTCCTCAGAGTGGTCACATTATGTCGCTGTAGAGTAATGAGGGACAATTACGAGACAGAGTTGGAAGTGTCCAAATGTTTGGAGTATTGAGAGGCTTCTCCGCGGGGAGCTCAGAGATAGGACCATAACTCCTTAGACCACTTTAAAGGAGCAATATGTAATATTTGCATGTCAAGTCATCATTAAATGACCCGAATATTTCAAAAGGCGTTATTAAATCATACTCTTTTCGAATTCATCTTTAACTGATAACAGTAGTTCAGCCGAGATATTTGATTATCAAAATTAGTTTTACGACCCGTAAAAGTATTGTTTTGATTTTGATGTCCTACCCTCCGCCGTTTCGCCAATCAGGAAGTGTCATGTAAGTCCGTGATCGGGTTGCCAGAACTCCGTGCGGCTCACTAATCTCAGTGGTAAAATAACATGTGGCGCAGAACTAAAAAAGGTCTTGTTATGACTCTCAAATCATTAATGACAAAACAAAGACTAAAACGAGGATTTATATCGGGACGCCTTTGAACAATTGAGACAGCTGATAAAAGTTCACGTGCGATGCAGAATTTTCTCTTTGCAAGGCGTTCTTCACAGAGTCTCCTTGCGTGTGAATCGGTGGTCTAGTGGTCTAAACTGTGCGCTTACAATGCAGCAATCCGGGTTCGATTCCGGGCTATGTCTTTTTGTATTTATTGCATGTTATCACATTCTATGACAGATTGCACTAAAAACGGTAAAAGATGAAGGTCAAGACGTTTTTTTGCAGATTATAGCTTAATTGTAAAAATAATCATTTAAGACCACATGTACCCCAATTAAAATAATGTTAGTCTCTTTTTGATGTGGAACTTTTACATGTTTGTCTAAAAAATAGGGAATAAATAAAATTGAAAGGTGATATCCTCTTGAGCAAACCCTGATGTTGATACGCTGAAGTAAAAAGTTCCAACATCCATTCTTCCCACTCCTATTTTGGACATCAATTGCTTATTTATTTTGCATAAACTATGTATAATTACATTGCTTTTATTTTGTTTTTGTTTTTTATCTCAAATGTCCAAATAATAATAATAAAAAAACATTAATCAAAACATTCATTCAGCATTAGCACGGCTGTCATGGCAATGTGAATGGAGACGGACAAACAACTGATAAAATAATTCCCTGTGTTTGCTGCAGGATTTGGTGTGAATCTGGCAACCTGAGTCAGGGAGAGTGGGAGAGGACTACACAATATTGACTGTGACTGCAGTACCACTTTTGGCCAGATTTTTACATATTGTTCCTTTAATAATGCCACCAAATATAGTGCGGTTCTTTAACGTACAGTACTCCATATTCCTCCATCATTCACTGACATTCATACTGTAGTATGTTTTGCAACAGTATTTTCTGTGAATTTTCAGGTACCTACAAAAAACACAAAAATATAGGCAAACAAATCTGGCACTTCTGGTGATGGAACACCTCAGAGCGATTTTATCACATGCCACTGTTTAAAACAAGTTTTCCACTTGAGCACTTTAAGTTTAAACAGTGGTGTGACTTTGATATTAGTTTATTACTGTATCATGTCTGCTGCCATCTCTTGCTGTGCTGATGGGGACGAGTTAACACCCTTCAAGTCAACACAACATTTGTACCCTGCAGAGGTGACCGGGCAAAGAACGATTTCACTTAAGAAACGTTCATGTTGTATTTTGAAGATTAGAATCTTGCCTAAAAGATTAGAATCCATTGCCTAAAAAGAGACATTTTTTGCAAAAAGCTTTTTTTGAGCCTTTAACCATGTTCCAACATTGTTCCCAGATCAAAAACAGACCTGGACTATCCATTAAGAACTTCTGGCACAGAAGTTGAAAACTCCACCCTTTAAATCTCAAATGTCCATTCTTATTCCTGTAATATAGTATGATATCATTGAACTACAAAAGACATCACACTCAGAGCAGTTTTGGGCCTGCACATAAATTCAGTTTGGAAAGTGAGATGTTGTCCTCTACAATGTCCTGACAGTGTTTGCAGCCAATAATTTTAGAAAAATTGTATAAAACAAAACAACAAAGTGTACCCCTCTCTCCAGCAGTAACATAGGGATATAATTAGTTTCTCTTCATACTTACACTATATATTTTCTACTGAAGATATCACATTTTAATGTAATCAATGATAAAGTAAATATTCTCGTTATCATTTTTACTGGCCAAAAATTATGCATGATGATTTTTTATTTTTTTTCCTGTTTGTGATGAAAGAAAGACATAGGCAAGAATGCAACTCAAATGGAGAAACTTTTGCAAATGCAATATTCCTCTCCCCTGACTTTCCCCTGTGCAAATTTCAAAACCTTCATTAAATTTCTTTATTTGAAAAAAGCCATCACAGCCCCCATTCATATAGTCTTGTTTAAGGAAAGCGCTTTATGAATGTCTCTGCCTTGTCCTGGTTGACCTGTGATATTATTCACGCCTGCTCATTTTAGAACTGTAATATCAGCCTTCCCTCTGGTCTTTTCCACCACTGTTGACCTTATCCCATTTACACTGTTGTTTCATTCACGCTGTGCTGAGCTGCATACACTTGTAAATAATTAAAATGCACTGCGCGGCCCTAAACAGAGAGAAATGGTGTGGTGAGCGCGGAGGAGCTTTGAACTTTGAGGTTAGCAGACATATTGTTTCTCTGTCAGGGTGGGTCTGCTCCTCGCTGCGGGGACTAGCATTATAACTCTTCTGTGGACTGCCGGGAGGAAAAAATACGGTAATTGTAAATCTGTATGACAGTCTGGATTCTATTGATGTTGTTCGTGACCATCGCATACCTGTGAAAAGTTCTTGCAATATTCACATTGCAAGGTCAGGACATGATAAACTATTCATAGACGGCACATGGCTCAGTGTCAATTTGCTTGTAGAGCAATATTACAACAGCTGAGGTTGTTGAAATAAAACACCTTTAGCAAAATGAACAAATGTCCCAGGTCCTTCTCAGTAGAGTAAAAAATACAACCCACAGTGTTGAGAAGTAACTAAATATGCTGAAATATGCTAGACTGTATGCAAATGGACAATGCTAACTGGCTCGCTCAGTGAAGCCCATTTGAGAAGTGCACATGGACAAAGTTTTGCTCCTGCTCACCCTATTGACTTACATCGAAAAGTAAACCCTTCTAGCTCAGTAACCACTTGTGTCACACTCACCATTTTAGACTTTAATTATCCGGTTATTAGCACTCTCTTTGATCCTGCTTTTAATGCTGTGATTTTGTCTGTATAAATCCCAATGGAATTCTTTTGCCGAATTCGGCAGTAGCGTGATTATGGACGGACCAGCAGTGCTTCTAAGGCGCTTGCTTGCTACCAATAGAATTGGCTCACATTTGGCTCAAATATGTACTGGCCCTCAGCAGTAGCCCATCTGCTATATGGTGTTGTTAGATAGAGCATCCACAAACAGAGATATCCCCCCACAGTGAGTCACCCCAAAAAAGAGCTCAAATGCCACTAAATGCATCCTAATTTTAGTACATTTTGAAAACCTTAACTTCCACATCATGTTCACACATGTTAGCTCAAAAGTTAGCTGCAGAATTTTGATCGGTTAAATGGTGTTCAAGCAGTGGAGCAGCACATTTAGATTTTTTTCCCCCCAAATTTGCTCCCGTTTTCTCATTAATCGGTTGTTCAACTCTTGGGTTTTGGTCAGTTGAAAGTGAAAAACATGAAATTGCAGCATTAGCGCCCTCTACAGAGTGATCTGAAGAATCACTAACAGAGCTCTAAATCGCTACACATCATCTAAACAAGTGTAGAATGAAAAGTTAGCTTCAGATTTGTGATTGGTTGAACAGTGTAAATTGTGTACACCCAGCCAATTTTAGCTTATTTCAATAGACCCACATGGAGACACACACTGATCATAGGCATTTATAGTATTCGTTTTTGTACCATCAGAGCTGTATGCAGAATGGGAGTCATCACCACCTTTGCGCGAAGATAGGCGGCAAGGGCCATTCAACGCCACTTGCGGCTTTAACTTTAGTCTCTATCTTGTCTCCAGTTACAACTGCAAAGTCCAACAGCCTCATTTATTTAACTCCCCAGTGCGCCGGCATAACTTATCCAGAAAAAGGCTTCAAAGAATTAAAATACCAAACTCACTTAACTTGACCATAAAAAATGCATAACTGTCTTCCATTCTGACTTTGTGAAGTGGAAATGGCAGTGCTGGGAGCCACAGATGATGGAGCGTTCTTGGGCCGCGCTCCTGCTGCATCTGTCGCACTGTTTTATGGAGATCAGAGTCCACCAGCCTCACTCCATAACTCTGACAGAGTCCTGCACCTCCGGCCAGCGCTGACCACGAATGACCTATTCAAATGCACTGCCACTCCAAGCGCCGGGAAAATATTTATAGGCGGCTTAAAGTTGCAAAAACAGTCAAACAAAATTTAGCAGAGATATTTCCAATTCAAACTACTTCTACTTTATTTTTGAGTTATTGCCTTCAAATTCCATTGGTCAAAATGTCATAGTTCAAAAACACAACAAGGCAACAATTATAATGCAAAGGAATAAGATGACAGTTGAAAAAAATAATAAATAATAATATTTTTTTAAGGGAGACATTCAAACAGACAACTATCACTGTTTAGTCCACCTTCGAGTATCAAAGGTATGTGATATGTGTTACTATGAACAAAGGAATAACATTGGACAGTTGTTGTTTTTGCGATTATCGTAGATTGTCATACAAATTTGGCATATTTTAAACAAACACATTTTCGGACCACTTTATTGTGGTTGCTATTTCTAGCTGTTATGATTTGAGTGCAACATTATTCCTGCAAACATATAAGTGGTCAGAGAACAGTCAATGTGATTTTGGCTCAAAGTTTATATTTATGTCTCAAGTAGCCATTGAGTTGACCGTGTTTAATCTCCTGGAAAATACTGTAGAATGTCCTTATTTTGTCCATTTATGCAGCCCATCGAACAACAAACATGAACCATAGTGTTTCTTCACAGATACCACAATAAATACTCTCTACAAACAATTCTACATGTATGACTAGTTATATTCAAATAATTAAAACTACAATAATAAAACACACAAAAGAGTAATTGTAAATCGTAAGAGTAAAGTGTTCAAGAATGACCCAGATAAAGCTTATAGATTTTTGCCTTGCATCTTTACATCAAGTTCTTCAGACAGAAATGTGGAAAAGAGACCTCCCTCACTTAGCTAATCAGCTCTCAGCCTAAATAGACACATAGTGACTCACAGGGCTCTTTCTAGTACACAAAAGGAAACATATTTTCTAATCAGATGGAGGCAGCTTGATGTGGTCTGCATCAATGACCTCATTTTGCAATGTAGTTATTTGCTTTTGTTGGGTTCACAGGCTGTAGGCAGAGGGAAATCCAACAAGCACAAAAACCCAGCACAAAAACCCAGCAACAATAACGGCTGGCTAACGAGGAGGGAAGAGTGCAGCAGCACCAGGGCAGCATGAGAGGACATTTAAATTGTAGATAAAAAAGAAAAGGTTACATCACCAGTTTGGTAGTATTTTGGAGTCAGAGCAATGCGGTCAGCAAACTTTGCAAGGTTGTTCCTTCCAAGTCCGGGAACACAACAAATGCATTTATTTAGGTTTAAAAAAAATAAATAAAAACAAACAAAATCGACTGATATAAAACACTTATATCGTATAACAGTTTTCAGCCATATCGTCCGCCCCTAAGATATATCAATATTTTTATATTGAAGCATTTACAGCGAGCTAAGACGCAGAGCAGCTGCTTATATTCTATATTTTGTGAGCTCCCTGTGTGCTCTTACTACTGTTCTGTATGTGCGCTGCAACAGTGAAAAGCAAAAGATTTTCCCCCCCAGCTGTAAGTAGGACTGTAGTTGAATTTCTTGGATAAACGAGCAAACACCAACAGCCCTGGTCTTAAAAGGTTTCCCAAGTAAATATTCAACTCTTATTTTCTATTATATTCTCTGGAGAAGTGTGAAGTCAGCTTTTCATTACTGAAGGTTGTGTGTTTTCGCAGGCGGCAGAGAGAAGAAAAGCCGTGGTTTCCAGTCTTGTGCACTACCTGGGTCCTGAAGCAGACTCTTTTATCCACTATGAAGAAAAGGTAAGCACTGGGGCTGTGTCTTATGTGAGCACATACACTCAAGGTGCTTTCAGGCCACGGCACTCAAACCTGTGGGGAGAAAGTTTGCAAAAAAGTCTTGCAAACAGACAAAACTGAGAATAACTTTAAAAGGACAATAAATAGGTTTTTATAATTATCACGGTTTTATAGTATGTATACAAGAGACCCTTGTCTGGATCTAACTAAAAGGATAGTGGTGAGGATACAGGACACTCAACATTCAACAACATTTATGGACATTTGTCATCTGCCCCTTATGAACTAATGGCTCTATGTGTTTTTCTAAAAAAAAATTTTTATTGCATTTCTTGTGTTTGATTGTCTGATCTGTGTTTGCGAATTCAAAGCTCTTGATAAGTCCTTCTAGATATATACTTCTGTGATCAAGGGCTATACAAAAATAAATTGAATTGAATGAATGCTTGCATTTAAGTCCTCTGTATATTTACTGCGTTTTCAAATGGCATAATTAGACCCCTGGAAACCTTTATACTTATCTGATGGCAAATCAAAAGTCCTGTTTCCACCTGCCCTACTCTACTCAGCTCTACTCTACCTACCATTACGCTTTAGAATTTGGTTCCTAGCAATATGTCTCACTGGCAGTGTAGGAGTGGACTGACCGAGTGCTGGCCTCTCTGTTGTGTTTGCCAAATGCAGAAGAAGCCAGTTTGAACATGGGCAAGCTGGAGCGAATTTCCTTATATGGGCATTTGTTCTGATGGGCAGTAACAGAGGGAGAAGCGTGTTGCTAAGATGGTTGCAAAGGAAAGCTGGAGTTTTCCCTTGCACATGAAGGCATCTGACTGGTCCATCATTTTGGCCAATTCCGAATTCAGAGGAAAAAAATATATAAACCAGGATCATAGAGAGCACTAAACCACAGACAAGCCCTAAATAATGAGTATGACACAAAGGATTACTGAGAAGTTTACTTTTCAATGTAAGTCAAAAGGAGCCAGAGCGAGTTGGAGGGAAAATTCCTCCATGCCCACATCCCTATTTGGCTTCATCGAGCTAGTGTTGTGCAGTCCATGGATGCGAGGATTCTCAGGAGGTTTTCTGCCCTTAGACACAGTTTAATTTAATGAGGACTTTTATTTGACCTGCCTGCTCGCCCCTCGAAGCCACGGAGCGAAGGCCGTGTGTATTTATCATCAGCAAACCCTCTTGAACTTGAAATATCATAATATGTATTTTTTGTTAAACATTTGTGGAATTTGGTAAGTGCTGAACTCAGGGTCTCAGTTTGTATACATTACAAATATGATTTGAGCTAATGTGGTGTCAGAACTTCCAAAGTATACTCTGTTGTTCTAAAATGTGGAGGAGTATGGCTGAAAAATCTTTGCTGGTTTCTATAGTACCTGTCAGACTATAATTCCTGGGTCGATCTCTTTGTCAGCACATACAGTATCAACTATGATCTAATTATTTCCTCATTATTGCTGAGAATAACATACATATGATGTTGGCCAATAGAAAGGGCTTTATATTAGTATAATGATGTATTTATATTGTTCATAATTTTGTCGTTAGAATAATATGACAGGCGTATGAATCTAACCACTATCAAATATTGAACTTAGAAAACATTTGGACATTTTTTTTTCTCAAAATTTCTTCAAAAAATGTCTTATATAAAACACATTTACACAACTCAAGAACATGCACACAATCTACTGTGCAAGCTGTCTTTAAAGGGGACTTAACAGGCAAACATCTTCTTTAAATGAATAGTAAACAATTGCCACATTCCATTGCGACAGATGTAGACTTTTTTTTAATTTAAGAATGCTTTTGTCTCCTATAGTCTTTAAAATCTTTAGGTCAGCATTGGATGAAGTTTATTTTGGTCACTTGTACATTTTACACATTGTCACAGGACAGTAACTTACAGCAGAAAGAAAGACCCGAAAAGGATTGTGCTGAACCTTATGCATTATAGGTTGCATATTGGAAATCTCAAGCATTTTTCCATTTTCTTCCGTTTCATTCGTTGCCGGATTGTCGGGGCCGCAGTCTAAGCAGAGACGCCCAGACCTCCCTATCCACACACACTTCCTCCAGCTCGTCCGGGGGGACCCCAAGGCGTTCCCAGGCCAGCTTAGAGACATAGTCCCTCCAGTGTGTCCTGGGTCTTCCTCGGGGCCGGAACACCTCCCCAGGGAGGCGTCCAGGAGGCATCCGGAACAGATGCCCGAGCCACCTCAACTGGTTCCTCTCGACGTGGAGAAGCAGGGGCTCTACCCCGAGCTCCTCCCGTGTGACCGAGCTTCTTACCCTACCTCTAAGGGAGCGCACAGATCGGAAGCAATTCAATCTAATAAAAATAGAAAAGCCTCTGGCAATCTCTTTGAATGTTGAATCAGAATTACAATGGCCTAAAATGTGGCCCTGCATTTGAACATAATGTAGTTCTTGCTAATAAACATAATAGAATGGTATAGCAGGTCTGCTCGGGTGATCTCAGTCTATTTATAGTGACCGTAAAATGTGCCAGTGAGAATGACTTTCAGATCTCAAAGACGCTGGCGCTGCCCCAGGTGATCACATTTGAAACTCTTTCTAATGGGATAGCTATACTGCAACGTAAAATGGGGTCTGAGATTTCTTTTTGGCAATGCTCAGTCCAACAATAAACAAAGTGCCACATCGCATTAGCATGTGCAGCTCCTTCAGGCACAGAGGAGAAAGCGGGCTGACTTTGGGGTGCTTTGTGTTGCTAATGGACGAGTGGATTTCACACCGCACCACAGGCAGGACTTGAATGCCCCAAAATAGAAGCTCATTCCTTAAACTGTCCACGCCTGAAAGCATAAAAACAAATAGCATTAGCATAAATCCCTAGACCTGGAAAAATGCCTGGAGCAAGGGGCAGGTTATAGAACCGTTATGCAGTGAGGAAAGTGCAGCCATCCGGATTCAAGTGCAATTATGTCTCTATTTGTAATTTTCACAGAAGTCTACATTTGTCTCACATCCCAAATAATGTAATGCAATGTGTGATTAGAATATATTTCAGCCAGCGATAGGGAAACAATTGACTTTTATATTGATTCTGAGAACTTTTATTTTGAGAAATGTATATTGAATTGTACAGTGCTGCTTCCAGATAGAGATTTTGAGTATTCTACTGCATATTTTTTGAGAGATTATGAACATAGGCCTTATGTTAGGAGTGGGCTAAGCCAGTGCTGACGTCACCATAATGTTAGCCAAATATGGAAGAAGCCAATTTGAACATAAACTAGCTGGAGCAAGTTTCCTTATATGGGCATTTGTTTCAACAGGGTTAGCTTCATGTCGTAATACAAAACGAATGTGTTGCCCACATGGTAGCTGAGACAAGCTGAGGTTTCCCTGCGAATGACGGCATCTGATTGGTCAAGCCTTGTGGTTCATATCTGGATTTACAAAAACGTAATGATATCAAAGTAAAAAAAACCGGGAATACAAACAGGAGATTTGTTAAACCCAACATGGTGAGTGTGAAACAAATGGTTACTGAGCTAGAGGAGTAACCGTTAAAACCAGAGTCTAATCCTCTAAGTCATGAGCCAGCGATTTGTAGCAAAACTTTGTCCATGAGCACTTCACTATGGGGCTGAATTAAGCTACGGTGTTAGCATTGTCCATCTTTTTACAGTCTAGGATTATGAACACTTCTTATCATTGATAGTGGCTGTGTGAAGTAATTCATTGTTGAAACATGTTTTCCATTTTCAAATTATAATAAAAACTCTTTTTTTGACCCTGATCATAAGTCTCCATCCCCCGGTTCCCAATAGAATATATATTTCCCCTAACATATCTGAAAACTTGGAGTCCGATGGTAAAGCAGGCCATTGGCAAGAAGCATCTGACAATAAATGGCTCAACACAATTTGTATTTCTTATATTGTTTCCTAATATACTACCCAAAATAATAAAAGTAAAAAATAAAATACAAATTGTGACCAAAACAATGAGATTTCTTCCTACCTGTTTAAACTAGACACAGTTGGACGGATTGTGTATGAACAGGGAGGTCTAGGTGAAAATAAGTGGGTGTATTTTAGTTATAAAATGTATCTGTCTGGGTCACAGCATTATTGGCTCAGTCTGTAATAACATAAACGCCTTTCTAAGATTGTATCCTCCATGTTGCATGGCAGAGACAGAAAAATAAAACATTCATTGCAATTACAGTTCATATTATTATACCAAGAGATCATTGAGCGTCAATGGGACTTTGCTGGTTCAATGAAGATACATTTTGATACATTTGGTGTTTGGTGAGGATTCCAAAGTGATTTAAATAAATGCACTGATATCATATCAACATCTGGCCTTCATTTATCTTTTCTATTTCTTATCTGGTGATTGGTGTTGACCTCACAACATGCTAGGATCAATTAAGCTAAAGAGTTGGAGATCAATGAGGTTAATGTGGGGAGGCATGTTGTTGTTCACTGTCAAAAGGCAGATTTGGTTTATGGTTCCTTATCCTTCTTATCGTTCCTTAGTGGCCATTCCTGCACGTGAAAGCCAGAGGGGGGTTAAGCTGGGCAGGGCCTGGAAAGTTTTGTGATGGGAGACCTCTGGGAACACCAGGTGCCACAGTGGGGGCTGTGACTGCCAAACTGGTGTTGTGTCCTTAGGCAAGACACTTCACCCCCATTGCCTAGAATGAGTCTGGTGTGACAGTAGCTCAGTTGGTAGAGCATTGGCCTTAAGCCCAGAAGGTCGTGGGTTCAATTCCCACCTCTGCACCTTCTCCACCGACTCCCACTGATGACTGCTGTCGTTGTGTCCTTGGGCAAGACACTTAACCCCACTTTGCCCAAAGCCCCCACTGAAAGATCAAGGCTATGCTCACACTCAGAGAGCAGCCATCCTCCTGTGGACTCACCACCTGCAGAGGGTCAGTGAGGGGCTGGTGCTATGAGACTTGGGTGGCATCTCTGACTGCCACCCCCCTGACCCAGAAATGGATG